GGGTATTCATCTATGGGTTCTAATGGAGGCATAGCAAACCTCTCACGACCCTTCCTTGGAATTTCAAGGGCCATTCTTGGTCCATTTCTTTCCCTAGGATTTTTATCTAGGAAAAAGTTTGGAAAAACCTCTCCAGGCTCTCCATCAAACAACGTGTTAAATTGATTTTGATGCGAAACGTTTGGTCTCTCATTAGCAACCATTGATGGTGGCCTCTGATTTTCTATAGGGAATACCACAGGATGATGAGTCCAAACACTGATGTTGAGACACTTATCAACTCATGCATGGCATTAAATAATTCTTTCCTAATGTCAGAATTGAGATTGTGCAATACGTGTTTCAGATTCTGCACAAATTCTTATATTTGTACACTATCCTAGCCATTTACTTAGTTCGCAGATTTTGCATGAAGGGCACTCAAATTTGCTTCATGATTGCCATCGACTGATGTCATTTCCACAGTTTCATTAGTCCCATACAGAATCTCGTCTTGCTTCCTTGTTTGCACCATCTTTTTAGATCCAAGTTAGTACAGATGTCTCACTGGGCATGCCAAAAGATTATTGTCCCAAACAATCTATTGTGATCGACAGAAATGCTTCAATCGACGGTCAATTCTCTGGCGATTGCTTGTGAATAGGTTCTAATGCCTTATTTTAGAACTTCCTTGGATGAATTCTTAAAACTATAGACACAAAATAATTAATCAATAAAAATAGACTCTTTTATTAATTTAATCAAATGGGTTTCCGTCACAAAGTGACTGATTCAACAGCCCTTGATTACAATGTTAACTATTTCTTAACAACTAACTCTAGCACTACTCCTAAATGCCCTGATCATAGGTTTTGTGGGGGGTTTGAGTTATTCTTCAACTTCCTTCTTTTCCTTCTTTTATAGTCATTCTCTTCCACGGTTTTTCCTTATTGACAGTTAGTTGATTTTGTAACTCTTAGACAGTTATTCCCTTTTTCAAACAAAAGTTGTGGCTGATCACTTCTCGTCTTTTCTTGAGATCTTGACACGTGACAATCCTTTAATGATTTTGGACTTGCCAATAACTCATGCATCGAATGTTTTCATAATTTTGTATTTTATGTCCAAACATGGGTTATTCGTGTAAGGGCTATGAGGATAGAATTTGCATGGAGTTCAGGCCCGAACAAAAAACAGATAAACATCGATTTGAACGAAAATTTTCTGTGGGACATGAAAGTGTTCAAAGATGTTCGTGTCCTGGAAGAGGAAAAGGTCACCATCACCAACATGTGTCTTACTGGTGATGCGAAGGACTATGAGGGTTGTGCTCATGTGTGTGCAGTGGGGGAGGAGAGGTTGAAGTGGTTGTGTGAGTGGAGGTGGTGCATTGGAGGTGATAGTTTGGTGGAATGGGGTCATTAAGGAGGGGATGAATTGAACTCAGTGGTCGAGAAGCTAAGTTTGGGTGGGTTGGTGGGTCTGCAAAGGAAGTGTTTTTTCAGAGAGGGAAGAGGAGTACTTAGCCTGAGAGGGCGGGGAGGGCGCAGCTATATGCCCGTGTGTGTGTGTGTGTGTTTGTGATAGGAAATTTCAGTCAAGTTTTAGATAATGCAATGTCCTTTAAGAAATGGTGATATACATGGGTGTGGATGATATATTCCCTAAAAATGGTAAACAATCATCCTCCTCCCTTCCATAAAACTTGTTTTCTTTCAAATTTGGTCAACAAATGAGTATTAGTGTTCAATTGGAAAACCATGTGTGTGCAAAAATTGTTGGCTTACCACCACTGTCTCTCCCATCTTTGGTATAGAGCCAGTTCCTAGGCGCAAGTCCTGCACTTTTTCGAATAGGAAATTAAAATATACATAACCAGAGCATGAGAGTATTGTGCAAGTATATATACCAGCAAGGCTCACAAAAAGTGCTTCCAACAGGTGACCTTATATTGGAGACCAGATTTTGTTTCAACATAATCAGGATACCGCATCTTCGTCTTGCCATAATCCTTGCCCCTAAGTGCTGGCACTGTGAGTCCAAACATTGAGCCAACCATCAGTTCTCACCACTATGATAGGCTGCATATAGTGATTAACTACACTGAAATTTGTCTAGCTTCACTAAAACTACTCGATGCACGCACTTAGCATGTGAATCATAGCACATTCAATCAATAAATGAATCACAGTATAAAGAACTTGAGTTACTGATCAACAAAACAGATGTCATGAAATAAAATGATGACTATATTGGAATTTACAAACAAAGATAAAAAAATAGATTTTGGTTTATAATTTAGGTCAACTCACAAACAGAAATGTTTGCTAACCAAACTGAAAAAGAAAAAATTTAGAAACATGATGAGAAATAAATTAAATATGTTTAACTATGTCAATAAGCATCACAATTGATTATTGAGCATGTTTATTGTCTAAACATCATTGATACACGAATTTGGAGAAGCAGAAATAAATGTTAATGTGATGTGAAAGTTATTTCTAGTACTCCCAAACAATTACAATTTACAAAATTTTAAGGACTTATAATACAAATGAAGTGATCATGACCATCTCTTCGTCACGAATGAGCAATGTTCTACCACCATCTCATTCCCTTTGACAAGCAAGAAACAACAACGTTGCAGTCTAAACAGTCTGAAATCAGCACCATCTCATGGTGATGAACCATCAATGTTCCCATCTCCACCTCTTCCTTGAGACACGTAGAAAATGGCATCGTTTTGGTCGAAACATTTTGAAACAATTCTATGAAATATTGGAATGTCGATTTTCAATCACTAACCCGTATATGTTTCAACCAAAAACGAAAAGTTTTGGCGGTCTCATCCAAAGCTAAACTAATTTTGATCCAGGCAGTTCTGAGGTTCTGGTCAATAGCATCCTACCAACCCCGCTTCCAGGCACATAGATCGATCCCAATTGTGCAAGATTATTAGGTGGCAAGAAAACCAGATGTTACACTATTGCTAATTGTAGAGCAGCTAATCCAGGATATAGTAAAGGATCAGCTGTAAATCTCAATTTATCAGCACATATGCTTGACATTATAAATATGATGGAACATATATGGTTAGCCCTTTGATTCAAAAAAAAAAACCAAGTTTTACGTAAGGGTTCCCTCACAGTCACAGCCAACCCCCCTCTCCTGTCACCCATCCCAATCCGACTTTTTGAAATTGCCTATTATTTTTCCTGTGCTATTATATTGGGCCCCAATGAAACTTGGAAATTTTGGCTTCGCCAATGCTCACTCATAAGTCACGTCACTACCCGAAATTGCACGCAGGCAAGGAAAATGATGAAAAATAAAAAGCAGAAGAAGAAAAAATGAAGGGGGGAAATAGAAATTACTGTCAGCAAATTGAGAAGCCACAGCAAGTGCATCCCGTGAAACAGTCCACAAGGACGCTGCCGTTAATAATCCAACTGAAGATATCACAACCTCTCTTCGGTCAATAAGCGGCACACAATCCAGGCGGCTTCTTTCATCTTCAGGAAGCACAACAGTTAGATCAAAAAATTCCTCCTGAATTAAAGAATGGTTAAAATTCGAAGACACATATACACCTATTAATTTCCCTAATTCTACAAAGGAAAGGATAATATTCTCCAGGAAAAGATGAAATTGTTTCTGACCACATGGAGTTGATGCGGCATCATTACTGGAATGTCTCGATGGCGACAGTTGTTGATTCGTCGTGGATCTTGGAGTAATTTGTCTGCGCCACCACTGGAAGTTCAAACTCCCACTTTTACGGATATTACAACAATGGATTAAGAAAATGACGTAATAAAGACGACTTAATTTTCTGAGCTAACGAACTAATATTGCAGGATTTTTACAAAGAAGCCAAAATTAAACAGAGAAACACAGTTATTAAAACCTAACGTACGTACCAATGATGAAGAAGAAATAGAAGAAGAAGCAGCAGCTTTCCCAGCGGATATGATCGCGAAGGATGTAGCAGGACACCCGATGGCTGATATTAGGTTCGCCATTTACACTCCACTCACAGTGAATTAAATTTGAACGTAACGAAGACAGAGAGAGAGAGAGAGTGAGAGAAGTTTACAGTAAGAGGTAGGGAAGGGAAGTATTTCTATTTCATTCCGTGGGAAGATAACGGCCACATCTTTTCGTTGAGCACTAGTATGTATGTAGTGTAGCCTATTCCATTGAGATTGTCTATTGACCATCCTACCCGCCCCAAATCTTACAGTTGCAGGTTTCTGAAAATTGTGAAAATACCCCCTCGGTCTTTCTTTTCGTTTTCGTATATTGCTAAACACTTTATAAAATTAAGTATTACCTTATATCTCGTTTAATTTTATTTTGTATCCATCTATATTATATTAGACTGAATTCTTTAATTTAATTCATTCATTTTTAATACTTCAACTAACCCACTCCATATAATTTTAATAACGACATTCAAATTAAATAATTCTTTAACTCAGATACGACCTGTGATTGTTACTTATATTCTTCAATCACAAAACATGTTCGTATTCTAATTTGAATTTTTCTACATTTTCTTTATTTATACTCGTCTCTATTGTATCAAACTCCTTAAAACTTAGTTCATATTTTAACTCCTTTAAAAACTGTCTATCAGATTGTTGAAATTTTATAACTGATTATAGAAAAATAATCACTACTTTTTTTATAAAAAAAATTGATTGATGCACATTGATTATCAAATGATTATTAATACACATCGAACCTTGGTAGTTATACCGAGTTACGTGAGATTGAAAGAGCAATCATGATCCAGATGTTCCCTGTCCTGTTCCTCTTTGTGCAATCACCCCCGAAAACATACACAAGCGCCATAGGAAAGGGGATAAGTGAAAGTTCTTGCTTACATGCAAGTTACACGAAACCCATTACTCAAATTACGCTCTTTATAGGATAGTCATCAATAGCCTTTACAGCAGGACTGGAACCCAGTCACTTTATTAAAGCCATAATGTCTGTAATCAAACATAACATAAGGATTATAGGCTGACTAGTTTAAGAGAGTTTGCCTTCTCCTGAAGACTATCGAGCAGGCTGTCAAAACTCTTTTTGAAAGCATCCACTCCTTCAAGTTCAAGCTGGGAGCCAACATGGCTCCAGTCAATCCCCAACTTCTCTAGGGCATTATAAATGCCTTCTGCTTCAGATACATTCAAATCTATTGTCCTTGCAACTGTACCATGGTCAATAAATGCTTGGAGAGCTTGATCAGGCATGGTTGAAACCTATAGAAAGAAGAGGCGGTATAGATGAACATTTAAGATAAATTCAAGAAAGTACAAAAAGTAAAAAAACATGACCGCAACCAACCACAACTGTCAATATAATAAGATGGCTCACCGTGCCAGGTCCAACTAGAGGAGTCACATATAGAGTATCAGGGTAGGCTGGATTCTTGACACTGGTAGAGGCCCACAGCAGCCTCTGCTTCTTAGCACCTTTCTTCACCAGACCCTCCCATCTTGGACCAGAGAATTTTTTCTGGTAAAGCTGGTAAGCGAGAGCTGCTTGAGCATTTGCAGCCTAATGGAAAAGGAGAAATGTTACACCACATGGGCAAAAGTTTCAAATCACTACAATTCTATATGCTGATTACCTTTCCCCGGAGATCAAGAGCCTCTGGAGTACCAATCTTTTCAAGCATCTTGTCAACAAGTGTGTCTACTCGACTAACGAAGAAGGAGGCAACACTAGTAACTCTGGAGAGGTCACTTAGCCCAGAAGCCTCAAGGCCATCCAAGTAAGCATCAATGACGGCTTCATATCTTGCAAGAGAGAATATAAGCTGTGCATATCCATAGCAAAAATTTGGAATCAGCAATAGTACATCACATTTCTCCAAAAATAGTGGTACAATACGACTCTGTTCACAGCATTATGAGCAAATCCAATAGGTTTCTCTTAGTAACGTATTTGTCATGGGCTCTTTCAAAATCAAGATAAGCACATCAGTGCTAAAAAGGTAGTCACTGTGCCAACCCATCCAAATAAAGCACTGACGCTCAAAAGATAGTAATTCAATAGGTTTCTCTTAGTAACATATTAGTCATGGGCTCTTTCAAAATCAAGATAAGCACATCAGTGCTAAAAAGGTAGTCACTGTGCCCAATCCATCCAAATAAAGCACTGACGCTCAAAAGATAGTAATTCATTGATTGGTTAGCACTAAAGTGGCTTTTGCAACATTGGTACATGCATGCTACCAAGCATCACCTTGTAAAGAGATCAGAGCTAAAACAAAGCATCTCAAGTCAATCCACGTGTTGTAATACAAACTTCTATCAGTGCTTGTTAACGAAAAAAAAAAGGAAGTACATATAAAACATTAATAGGACCACCTGTTGACTCTCAAATCTCTTATTCTTTCTTCACTCCCTAGTTTGGTAAACAAGTCCTGGAAAACCTGACCAATTCTGCATTCAATTCAACAGTTAGCAGTATTACAAGGGTTCAACATGACACTTGTATCCTTTGTGTTGATTCCTCAAGTCAGTCCCCATATTCCCTGGTCAGTTAATAGGAGAGGGAAAAAAATTAAAACCTTGAAAAACAAGGTTTGGAAATCGATATTGCTGTTGGAATACCTCAGATTTTAGGTTTTTTCAGACTTTACTTCCAATATTCCCAATTTTCTTGAGATGCTAAAAGCAAACAATGGTTCTCGCCATTTCCTGCTTCATTTCTAGATCAAGCAAGCTTATCGTATCACAAAAAACCTCCAACGCAAACAATTTATTCACGATTGCTTTTGCCAATGATAATCTAGTCCAGTTGTCCTTGACACTCAAGTACTGCCTTTATATCTTCCATAAAGAGGAGATATTTTTCTATCCCTTCTGACTAGTGGCGGGGAAAGCATCACAATGCAGTTTGAATTGCTCAAAGAAGTTGGGATAGAATTAGAATTCAGACCTTTCCAGTGAAATATGAGTTTAGGACATTTGGAATGAAGGACCAATTTTTTTGTTTTATGTTTGTGAAAGATATATAATAAGCTGTCATTTAAGCCTTAATTTGGATCTCCTATAATAAGAAAACAAAAAAGAAAGAGTAGAACAATTTCTAGACTCTGCTGTTGAACCCATGACATGGCAATTGCACTCAATAACAACTGTGATTTTAGTCCAGTGCTGGTACTTTTTTATGATCCTCTTCGCTAATCGATATACAACCAATATCCGAGCTACTAAATCATATTTCTACATAAGTTACTCTCACTTCATCATATATTAATGGAGAAGGTCATCGCCACTAAAAATAGACACAGTGCTTCATGACCACCAAAGAACATCAACAAATCACTTTCAGTTTCATCAGTATTCAATAATAAAGTCACACTTAAGAATGCAAAGAATCAACTTACAGTTACATTGACGCTTATGCCATGTGAGATGACTTCCTTGATTGAAGGAATGCATGCAGCTGTAGCAGGAATTTTTATGTACACATTGGGACGATCAACCTTTTTATGAAGCCATTTTGCAGCCGCTACTGTCCCATCAGTATCATCAGCGAGTCTGGGTGAAACTTCAACAGAAACATAGCCATCACCACCATCCATTTGATCATAGATTGGCTCAAAAAATTTGCATGCATCTTGGATGTCCTTCACCACAAGTTCCCAGTATGCACTTTCTATGTCTTTTCCAGCTTCTACAAGTTCTCTGTAGAACCCATCTATTTAAGGTCAGATATATCATAATTATAAGGTAAAAGCCAGTTTTGGGTTTCCAGCCAGCAAAAAAAAAATCAAAAACTACTTTAGGATACAAGGGTGTGCATATATCAGCAAATCAGCTGAGTTATCAAAAGTATCATACAAGGAAAATTGAACAGTGCAAATGAAGCTCCTTTCCATTCTCTATAGATCAACTGTTACACACATGGACATCAACCAGTTTTTGTTATAAAAAAATCCCATTTTCTAGTTGATAAAAAAAAAAGTAAAGCAATATATGTCCAGGAGTTGGAAGTGGCATGTTTCATGTTTTAGTTATTCCTAATACAAAATTATGAGAACTATTCTTTTTTTCATGTTTTAGAAAAAGTTACATTGTGGTGTCAGTAAACCACTAATCAGTAATCACACTCCCCTTTCCCCAAACCCTTATCTCTTTAGGCATTCAACATTACAGGATATTTTGTTTGCCTNTTTTTTATTTTTTTTTTGAAGAATTGCAATCAAACTCTTTAAGATTATCACTTAATCACTTAAATTTTTTATATTTAAAATATTATACACAGATCTCCTAAAATATCTATACATGTAATACTTAGACCCTTACCATCAAATATTTGTTAGTATATTTATTAGTAAATTACATCTAAATTCCTGAAATTTGTAAAAGTATAATATTTAGACCCCTCAAATTTAAAATATTATACTTAAACAAAAAATATTCTAACCAAATATAAAATATAAAATATTTTAAATTTTACAACCAAAATTCATATTCTATTATAATATTTATTGAAATAAAATTAAAAATAAAAATTCAATTTTTCTTAAAAAATCATAAATTAGTATATAATTATATTATCTATTATAATAAAACTAAAAAATTCAAACAAGGAATCTAAGTCATTCATAATCGATCATGAATTTTACAACCAAAGTTCATATTTTATTATGTCATTTATTGAAATAAAATCAAAAATAAAAATATAATTTTTCTTAAAAATCATAATTAGTATACAATTATAGTATTTATTAGAATAAAACTAAAAAATTAAACAAGAGGTCAAGTTGTAATGAATACNATTTAAAAAATAAATAAGAGTATTTTAGGGCTGAATTCTACTGAAAGTGGTGATCACATCACATGGACTCAGCTCCATTAGAAGCAGAAAGGAATCACATATGTAATCTCAATCCATCAACAGAAATTGAACCCAGCCATATGAACCAAAACTTTGCACTCACCAGAAGATTTACAGTTGGTTCTTGTGCAGTCAAGCCTTCTTATTAGCATAATTTGTATTTCAAAATTAAAATATAATGCTAGTTGAATCACCACGGAGAAAAGGAGTCACATCCAAAACACCAGTCAGTCAGTCAGTCACCTAATGTAATTGACCTACCCTCTGGAAAAATTGATGATTTAATGGATCCACCCAGGCAAGCACAATCTAAAAAAGGTACGGAACTAGCTGAGCATTTACACTATGAAAGAGCNTAGTTTTAAATTTTAAAATATTTAATATTATATCTTTGGTTGAATTTTTTTTGGTCAAAATATAATATTTTAAATTTAAGGGGTCTAAGTATTATATGTCTACAACTTTTAGGGGGTCTTAGTGTAATTTATTAACAGATATATTAATCGAAATTGATTGCAAGGTCTTAGTATTACGCGGGTACAAATTTTAGGGAGTCTATATGTAATATTTTAAATGTTGAGGTCTGAGTGATTAAGTGACAAACTTCAGAAAGTCTAGTCGTAATTTACTTTTATTTTTTTTTCTTACTAACACTGAAATTTTTATTAACTTGGGTTTTTTTCAAGGGAGTGATAGAAGGTGAGAAAAGGGCAATCCCGACAAAATAATTTCGTTATTTTCTTTTCTTTTCTTTGGGGGTAAATATTAGTAAGAAATTAGTTAGATAAGAGGGGACGGGCACATCATTATTGATGAGCCTGAATTTTACTGAGTTAGGCTCAATTCAAATAAATCAAGAAAGCCCAAGAGGAAAGTTCAATCAGATGGGTTAACCCATCAAAAGAGATCCAGGGCACCCAATGCCCAGAACAAAAGAACGAAGAGGCCAGGGCGCTACCCATGGGACACTTGGGCGCCACCTAGGCAGGCCTTTGGGCACCTGCTCCTCTTTGCTTCGTTGTTCCAATGCAAGTCCAGGATCAATCCGAGTCCAAGCCAAGCCTACTCAAGACAAGTCCAAGTCCAAAACGAGGGTCAAGCTTAGTTCAACTAATATTCTCCTCCGAATGAATAGGAGCACGAGGGGAGATGATATGGAGATAGACATAGAATGTCTCCNCCAAAACGAGGGTCAAGCTTAGTTCAACTAATATTCTCCTCCGAATGAATAGGAGCACGAGGGGANTTTTTTTTTTTTTCGCGTTTCATTAACAAAGTTCAAGCAAAGCCAATAGGAATTATGCCACCCAACACTATAGAAAACCGGGAAAAAAAAAACACCAATACAAACACATAAATAAACGAAGATCGCGAGAGAATAAAAGAATGATAGGCATATATGGATGATATATAGAGGAAACTTACATTAAGGAACGCCTTAAAGGATGGTTACTGCTGACCGACAAGCTAGAGGCTGAAAGTCCTGTTTGGAAAGAAGTTTTTAAACGCAAATCAACAAAAGACTTGGGAACTGAATACCTTGACGCAAACGAGGGTGCTAAATAAGTGGGGGTGGGATTTGAGAGCTTGGATATGGAAGCCATGATGACGAGATCACAACTGTGAGAGAGCGAACGAGAGAGCAAGGGACGGAGGTTTTTGAAAGATGAAGAAGCTTAAGTCCAACAACCCCTTTCTTACCAATCCCTCTTTATTACGATTACGATACAAGCGAAGAAACAGGTTAGGGCTTCTAATGCTCACCCAACCTAACGCCCATTTGTTTTTTTTTATTTTTTTTTTGAAGAATTGCAATCAAACTCTTTAAGATTATCACTTAATCACTTAAATTTTTTATATTTAAAATATTATACACAGATCTCCTAAAATATCTATACATGTAATACTTAGACCCTTACCATCAAATATTTGTTAGTATATTTATTAGTAAATTACATCTAAATTCCTGAAATTTGTAAAAGTATAATATTTAGACCCCTCAAATTTAAAATATTATACTTAAACAAAAAATATTCTAACCAAATATAAAATATAAAATATTTTAAATTTTACAACCAAAATTCATATTCTATTATAATATTTATTGAAATAAAATTAAAAATAAAAATTCAATTTTTCTTAAAAAATCATAAATTAGTATATAATTATATTATCTATTATAATAAAACTAAAAAATTCAAACAAGGAATCTAAGTCATTCATAATCGATCATGAATTTTACAACCAAAGTTCATATTTTATTATGTCATTTATTGAAATAAAATCAAAAATAAAAATATAATTTTTCTTAAAAATCATAATTAGTATACAATTATAGTATTTATTAGAATAAAACTAAAAAATTAAACAAGAGGTCAAGTTGTAATGAATACAATATGTTCTAGTTTAAATTGGGGTAATTTGGTATTTTAATTTGATCATTTAAATTACCAAATTAAATTCAATAGATAATGTAACTGTATATTAATTATAATTTTTTAAGAAAAAATTAGATTTTTATTTTTAATTTTATNTAGATAATGTAACTGTATATTAATTATAATTTTTTAAGAAAAAATTAGATTTTTATTTTTAATTTTATTTCAATAAATATCATAATAGAACAAGAATTTTAGTTTTAAAATTTAAAATATTTAATATTATATCTTTGGTTGAATTTTTTTTGGTCAAAATATAATATTTTAAATTTAAGGGGTCTAACTATTATATGTCTACAACTTTTAGGGGGTCTTAGTATAATTTATTAACAGATATATTAATCGAAATTGATTGCAGGGTCATAGTGTTACGCGGGTACAAATTTTAGGGATTCTATATGTAATATTTTAAATGTTGAGGTCTGAGTGATTAAGTGACAAACTTCAGAAAGTCTAGTCGTAATTTACTTTTATTTTTTTTTCTTACTAACACTGAAAAATTTTATTAACTTGGGTTTTCTTCAAGGGAGTGATAGAAGGTGAGAAAAGGGCAATCCCGACAAAATAATTTCGTTCTTTTCTTTTCTTTTTTTTGGGGGTAAATATTAGTAAGAAATTAGTTAGATAAGAGGGGACGGGCACATCATTATTGATGAGCCTGAATTTTACTGAGCTAGGCTCAATTCAAATAAACCAAGAAAGCCCAAGAGGAAAGTCCAATCAGATGGGTTAACCCATCAAAAGAGATCCAGGGCACCCAATGCCCAGAACAAAAGAACGAAGAGGCCAGGGCGCTGCCCATGGGACCCTTGGGCGCCGCCTAGGCAGGCCTTTGGGCACCTGCTCCTCTTTGCTTCGTTGTTCCAATGCAAGTCCAGGATCAATCCGAGTCCAAGCCAAGCCTACTCAAGACAAGTCCAAGTCTAAGACGAAGGTCAAGCTTAGTTCAACTAATATTCTCCTCCGAATGAATAGGAGCACGAGGGGAGATGATATGGAGATAGACATAGAATGTCTCCTACCATAACAATACTTGACAAAGCAATATAATTCTTCTCCCTTACGTCACCGCCTCTGCTACATTACCCTAGCTATATAATGTAAGTCCTATCAACATCAAGGGCAAGGCCTCCAAATCCTCTACACCCACTCTTATACACACTGTTCTCTCTTATTCTCCCTCAAAGTACTGTAACTCTCCGGAGTACCATCACTCATCAATAAAGAACACTGGCCACTACTGCCAAAAGAAATATATCATGTTTGTGTAATCAATGGGAATACATACACCACTAGCAAAGTACCAAGTCAGCCATCAGTTTGGATAAATTAAACTCAAACTTACTAAAATTTATTATTTAATCATATAAACTCCTAATATTTAAACTATTACACATAATCTCCCTCAAGTTTGGCCCTACTGTCAAAGTCTCCATAATGTCATCATAATATACAAATATAATTTCAATACCACCCTTTCTTCTATTAGGCCCAATGCAATTATTTATAGATAAATTATGCTAGAATTATCTAAGATTTGTCACTCAACCACGTTGACCCTTTTTACATTATGAATATTACACTTAAGACTCTCTAAAATTTGTGTGCAATAAATATAGACCCCTGCTAGTGTTAGGTAGTAGATTCTTTAAAATATCATGTTATGTCAACATAATCCTAATATTTCCCTTCTTGTATGGGACCCAATATCAGTACATAATATTAAATATTTTAAATTCTTCAATCAAATTAATGTTCTATTAAGTCATTTATTAAAATAAAATTAAAAATAAAAATCTAATTTTTTCTAGGAAAAAATTATAATTAGTACAAACATATCATATAAGCATAATCAACATATTTTTATGTTCTTTTATACCATCCATTGAAATAAAACCAAACCAATAGGAAGAAAAAGAAAGAAATAAAACCAAACAAATTCTCAATTTTTTTAGGAAAAAATCTAATCAATACAAACATATCAAAGAATCCAAATCGATACCCATTTGTATTCTATTATACAGTCTATTAGAATAAAGCAAAAAAATCAAACAAAAATTATATTTTTTTCAAAAAAAAAAAAACTAAGTAATACAAGCACTTGTGCATTATAATGACATAATGAAATTATAGTGGTTATAGCAACGAATGCTAACGATAAATGTGTATGTGTTATATGCACACAAAAATTTTAGGGGGGTTAATATTCCAAATGTAAGAGATCTAGGTAATTAACCGATAAATTTCAAAGGGTCAAAGTATAATTAATCAAATATATTCTATATGTAATTGTGGTATTTTGGCCTTTTACTTGATTCCATTAGTTATGTTATTTAATCATCACTAATAAAAAGATCTAAGTATAATATTTCAAATATAAAAAAGTTCATATGATAAAGTGATAAAACTTAGAAGGTTTGGGTGTAATTTATCCTAATGATTTTTTACTTATGGTACAATTTAAGATGTTTATTTTTGAATTCATCTCTTTTTTGATGTGTGCGCACTTGGTGATAAGGACTATTGCAACAATATTGAAAGTCCATCCACAATCACAATTTAATTTTATGTAATGTCATTCCTTGGAAATGGTCAAATTCACTAGTACAACTATATCCTATTAAATCTCTTTCCTTTAATGTCCCTAATG